TGAGCAGCTCATTCTTTGATCAGAAAATCTTTCACTTTCGGACAGTGTTCATTAAAACTATCATAGCACATAGGGGCATCTTTCACACTTCTCATGGATATGCCACTAAACTTTCTTGGCTGATCCAGGGTAAATTGAATTCCGTCATTTTCAAAATGACTGGTAACAACAGATAAAAGCATCTTGGGATCTCAGATAAGAGTTGTTACCTCCAGGTGGCCATCTTGCAATCCTGGCCTGCAAAACACACTATTCAGGTATTAGAAATGGAGTAGTGGACCAATTATAGCCTGTAAAACACAGCACTAAATAGACTTTTGCAAATATCAGGATCCCATAAAAGGATTCACTAAAAAGAAGTCAGTTCTCTAGCTTTTAAACTACTGATGTAGCACTCTTGTTCCCATTGGCTTGTATTGCAGGCCTGTGACCACATTCAAGTACTAATGCAGAACAAATGACCAAATCCAGGTCATATACATCTTAAAGCAAAATTACCTTTCTTGTTGACTCTGGTATCCCAGACCATGACGTTTCCATCTCTGCCTCCCGTGCAGAAGACAGCTATGGGAAACAGAGTTATTAGCTTTAAGAAAATTGAGTTCATTTTTAGAAATGAACAGGAGTCAGTATAGCATCATCTCTGTGACAATGGCTGGGCTCATCTGTCTGCCCCTGCTGCAACCCCTGGGAACCCAGTTGTAAGGACACAGAGGCTTGGCTCACTGCTAAGGCAGTTTTAGAACAGGGGTGGGCAAAATGTGGTCCACGGGCTGCATGTGGCTCACCAGGCCATTCTATTTGGCCCGTGGGGCCCCTAAAAATTTAGAAAATTAGTATTCATCTGCCCCTGGCTGCCTGTCATGCAGCCCTTGATAGCTTGCCAAAACTCAGTAAGCAGCATTCCACCCAAAATAATTGTCTGCTCCTGTTTTAGAATGCAAGGAAGTGCAGCCAGGTGTTTGGTACCTTTTGACAAAAGAAGGCAAGCAGGCTTTCACTTGTAGACAACAGCCCACAAATGTGTAAGGGGACTGAATGGCTTTGGGATCATTTACATACTGCAAGATACATTCCTTAAATTGGAACCAGGCTACAGAAGCTGTTGACCCTAAATCACTGCTGGCACCCTGGGAAGGAGTAAGGAATCCTACTTCATCTTAGATATCGATGAAATGGGTCTGGAAACCAAAATGACTTTTCCTCTTTAGAGCTGCTTCCAGCAGGCCACAATTGGATCAGATTAGCAAGGCGGAGATAAGAAACCTGCTTGAGGAACTGCCTGTGGTACTAAGAGAGGCCTTCAGCCTCCAGAGATCCGTAAGGGGAAACAAAAGCATGGCTAAGGAAGATACACGGACATTTACCTCTCTCAAATTTAGAAAAAGCAACCGACTTCAGGCTGCACTGGTGACCTTTACATATACCAAGCAGCTCACCAGCTCTCACATCCCACACTTTAGCTGTCTGGTCTCCTGAAGCTGTTACCTTCAACAGAAGATGCAAAGAGATTTAGTTACTCTTTGTAGTCATTCATCAGAGCATTAAAAATAAAGACAGACAGTACAAGTCAGCTTACAATTCTGTGTTCTCCAGGTACCCAGGCAATGTCAAAGACAGCATTCGAGTGTGCCAGCCACTCTGATGGGGTAAACAAAAGCTCAGTTTAGTTCAGATGGTGCTGGAAGCTGCTGCTTGGTAATAATGCAGTGGGACAGTATTTTTATGATTTTTTTTTTTAAATCAACACTTAAATCAGTGAATTTTTGCTGGTCAGCAGCTCTTCTTAAGTAGTTTGGATAATTCACTTAAAGCAGCAGTAAGGACACTTCTTTATATAATGCTGTTTTGTAACCAGTAGTCATGAAATGATAAAGAAAAGGAACAAGTACTGCATAGAAGTATGGGTTAAAACAGGAAAACCTCTCTTTGCTTTCAGTAAGTCACAAACACCCTCTCACACCTAGTTCAGATCTCATTCTGTATGACATTCACCTTTAAAGATCTGCTTGGTTTGAGATTCTGTATCGTATAGTCTGACAAAACCTTCTTCATTTGCAACTGCAAGTATGTGCTGCAAATCTGGAGCTGAAAGAGAAAAGAGTAGGATTCATTTCTGTGCATTAAAATAGCTTTCTCCTGGTCTTCTCCCCAAAAGAGAGAGCTGCATAAACAGCAAGTACATAAATCTGGAAATAATTAGCACTTACTTATGCTGTAAATACCTAAATTACTATGCATTTATATAGTGCTTAATATGCAGGGTTAGTGATAGAATATTAATGGTTCTGAAAGGGGAAAATAGACAGCTAATGTGATTTGCCTGCTGTGTCTCTGCCACTAATCTAAAATTCCTCGCTGCTATAAACTGCTGAATAAGCAGAGGACAAAGATGACCAAGCAGAATGTCTCATCTCTAAATCTTACAGTATAAATTAGGGCTGTTAGTTAATTGCAGTTAGCTTACATGATTGATGCAAAAACAAATTAACTTATTAATTTTTTTTTAAATTCTGTTAGTTGCACACCATTGTTGTGACCAGTGGAGCGGACCAGTTGGAACCCATGTGCACAACCTTGACCCCAGCCTGCCCCACACTCACTTGCCCATGCTAAGCAGTGGCAACAGCAGCTGGGCAGAAGCTGCTACTTGGCATGGGGGAAAAGCAGCCCTTCCCCTTCACCACTGCCCAGCCATTCTTGCTGCAGTGGCCCAGAGTCTGGGCCTAGGCTGCCCTGTGTCTCCTCTCCGCTGCTGTCACCACCACCTTCAGGCCATCCAGTGGGGCAGTGGTGGCAACACAGAGGAGCCACAGGGCAGCCTGGGAGTGGGCTCCGGGTTGTTGCAAGGAAAATCGAATCTGGTCATGTCAAGTTGACCAAACTCCCAGGAGTCTTTTCGAGATGACTCAAAATTGGCAATGATTGTGGCCTAAAGGTAACCCCAGGAAAATGCCAGGGAACATGGAACATTTAAAACAACGGATCAATAGTACCATAAAATAAACTGATAACGTGGTAATTTTGGGGAGTAATTAATTTGGGGATGGGAAAACAACAGGAAAATAATATTGTCAAGGTGCCAAGGCGTGCTATTGTATTTTTAGGATCCATGAGCCAAAATATTATATAACAAGCTTGGCTAGCATTGATAATGATTATGTCACTAAAGGGTTAAGCAGCCTAAGCAAGCGAATTCAGTGTTCCCTGTATGCTATCTGAACCATTTGCATGAGTTTCTGAGGGAGACATCTGCATGGATCTCTAAAGGAGGACCAAGCCTTTGGACTTGGAACAACAGCGCAACCCAGGAAGCTTTCCCAGAATGACCGCCTGAGGGAAGTAACTCCTGCGTAACAAGTCTAGACAGACTGTGAAGCGGTGAAGAGTCACATTAATGCATTCAGTCTTTGGTAACTAACTGTCTGCTTATATTCTGCCAATCCCAGTAAAATTGACTACTTTTGACTATTCTGGCAACCCCAGTTGATGAATTGTCTTGTAGTCAATAAAGCTTCTGACTGTTTGTGGGATGAGTGCCCGTGGTTAATTACAGAGTTATCCCCGCCCACAGAGAAGTAGGGCTTACATGAGCTTCCGCCCAACAGGTATGGCTACAGCAAACAGCTCTGCAGAACTCCTTAAGTACCCAGCTGTTTTCAGCAGCTTTTATTTCAAAGTGTGGTGCTTCTCTGATCAGCTACATGGAACTCCTCATGAGCAGTAGCTGATCTGTGCCCTTTAAAGTAAGTCAAGCAATCAGCTAAATGGCTGGCCCCTAATACAGTGACCCACACCGAATTAAACAGGTTTCAAACCAGCCCTTCAGAAAAAAAAAATTCAGGTTCTACTGCACTAAACAACAGCTTTTTCAGAGGGCAACTGCCATCCTACCACCTTGCATAGGTTTGTTCCATCATATTGTTAATCAGTTTACCTTGAAAACAAAAGACTAGGCTTTTGCACAGACCACGTGAAACAGCACAGGGCATTTTGGCCTCAGAGCTTGTTCCTCTTAAGTTACCAGTTTTATTGTCCCAGGTGTAAAATGAGGCTTAATTTTTTTTTTTAAAACAAAAGCAATAAAGCATGAAGAATAAACATCTGCTCCCCCACATGCATGCAGCTTTGTCCCTCCACAGCACTCTCAAAAAGATCCCTTACCTGTAGAAAAGGTGCAGCCAAAGGGAGGGACTGGCATCCCCAGCTCTCCGTAAGAGAGGTGGTCATCTTGTTGACTGCACTGATAGCAGTCTATGAGGTGCTGGAGGGGGTATTGCCAAGACGGGCCTACAAGGTCAGAGAAAGAATCCAGTTATACACCAGCCACTCGGAAATACAACCCACCGGCTCTCCCGGGGCCACAGCCTCATAAACAGCGGCTCAGCAGAGGGTCACAGGTCCCCACGGGGAACAGCGCCCCGCGGGTGCGGCCCCGAGCAGAGGGTGGCTCCGACCACCATCCCCTTCCTCTGGAGAAAAGCGGGGAAAGCGCCAGCTCCGGCTCCCGGCACTGGCTAAGGGGAGCCATCCGAGCCGCGGCAGCTGTGCCCGGGCCCGGGGTTCATGACTCACGCTGCGGGCCACCGCGGGCACGGCGGAGAAGCGAACGGCACAGCATGTCCAAGTTGCAGTCAAACGATCGCGGCACGGCGAAAACTCCCGCCAACGCGCTACCCGCCAAACCCCGCTCGAGCTCCTCATTGGACAACGCCCCGTGGGGAAAGCTCGGAGGCTCCGCACCTCCCATTGGTGTGGTCAGCAGAGCGGGCTAGCAATGTCCCTGGTCCTTTCGAACGAGAAAGCACAAGTCTGTCGCTGCGCATGCGCACTGAGTACTACCTCCTATCCGGCGGGAGTGACTCCGCCCGCGCATGGCCTGACCACCTAGCCCGACCGCTGCTGGCGGAGAGGGCGCATACCCGTATCCCGCCCGCTACACCCAACCACCCTGGTGGTGGAGTAAGTGCACATGCGCCTCACTGAGAGTGGTAACTGCGCATGCGTGGCCGGAAGTCGTGTCCTAACTGTGGCACCCCTCCGGAGAGCCATGGCTGCCGGCGCTGCCAAGTCGTTCCTGGCCGATGCAGGCTACGGCGAGCAGGAGCTGGACGCCAACTCGGCCCTCATGGAGCTGGACAAGGGTGCGGCGCCTACCCCGGGCGCCCAACCGCCGCCTCGGCGGGGGAGGGGCGGTGCTGTGGGGGCGGATCCGGGTCCGCGCTTGTGGCGTGGGGGGCGGGGCGGTTGCGTCGTACCCCCCATTGGATGGGCGCCTCAGCGGCCCGGGGCCCCGACTGGGCTGCGCGCCTGGGGGAGGACAGCGGCCCTAGGGTCGCCCCTAGCCTTTGTGCGGGTGTGCTGTGTTAGGTGTTCCCTTTCCATGACGTAGTTGTTACCGTATGACTTCGATCCCGTTCCTGTTTTCTTGGTATGTCCCCAGTGACCTCCCCTAAGGGGCGCTTATAGTTTCCATGATGGGTTGAAGCCCATGACATCAAGGCATATCAAATAGGCCTGTTGCTTTTCACTTTCTTCCCCTACTTTATTAGTCTGCAGCCAGGCCCTGGCTCTCCCAGGCTGAGGCTTTTTTGTTCTCATTAGCACTGAGCTGTAGACAACTGTAGATGCTTCAGGAGAGACTAACCATCGCTCATTCTCCGCAGGGCTCCGGTCTGGCAAACTCGGGGAGCAGTGCGAAGCTGTGGTCCGTTTCCCCCGGCTCTTTCAGAAGTATCCCTTCCCCATTCTCATTAACTCAGCCTTCTTGAAGCTGGCCGATGTTTTCAGAGTTGGGTGAGTGGCATGATTCCCTCGTTGCTTCAAGCCCCCGATCCCCAAGTTCTCCCTTGTTTTCTTCTCATTGTATTTGGAGCCAGGGCAGTTGTCGCACTGTGATTTTCAGACTGTGATCCCTGGAGCATTGCTCACCACTGGTTCTGCAAAGAGGCTGGGGGTAACAGTGGAGCAAGATGTGGGGGGAGTGAGGGGTGGGGGCAGTGTGCTGCCACTGCTGGACAGATGATGTCCTGGCTCCGTATCATAGTGTTAGTCTTTGGGATAGGGGTGGGGGTCCCATGGCAGAAGAATTGATGTGAAAAGTTTCCATGACTTCAGTAGGTTTAAAAACCACTGGCATTGCATTTGTGTTACTGCACAAATGCAATGCTAGCAGTTACTGCATTTGTGTTACTGCACTCTTCTGCTGAAAGAGGATCTGTCTCTGGAGCCTGCCAACCTCGTCCTTCGTGGGCAGGAGTGGCAGTGAAGGATTGAAAGCCATTTGTCATTCCATCCCTTTGCCATCTCATCTACTGAGGATTTGCCTCAGTTACCAGTGACTGATCAGCAGTGGTTGTGGAGCTGCTTTGGTGCAAACTGGTAGTTCTGAGCCTCAGGCCACAAGCTAGATAGCTCTGCCCCAATGTTGGATGTGGACTGGCCCCACACCGTTCATCTTGCCCACGGGGCAGAGAGGTTGAGCACCACTGGTATAAGCCTTTAAGATCAAGAAGTTGAAATAAGAGACTGTTCTCCATTTGTGTTGTAAATAATTTAAGTCTCATCTGTTGCCCTTCCAAGTGCAAAATACTCACTGAAGACCAAATTAGAGGTGTTTGGTTGTAGTATGTAGATACAGTATATTGTTCTGGTTATCATAATGCTTGCTGTATGCATATGCTGTATTTACCTGACTCCAAGACAGCCTTGAATTTAGGACGACTCACCCAATAATTCCATTATATACATGGAAAATGATAAATGTGTTAATTTTCCCCATATAAAATCTGATTAGGGGAAGGTTGTCTTAAATTCTTCTCCCCACAGTGCTGTGACAGGGAGAGCAGTGGTGGGGTGTGAGGGGCCAGAGCCCTGCCTATGCTAATCTGCCCTGCTGTCCCCATTGCCGCTTGACCTGTACCATGTGCCCCCGCCATGCTCCCTGCCATATGTAAAACCCTCCACGTGATGGCCCCTGCAGCACCCCCGTCTGCCCTTGCCCACCACAGCTGTGCTTGCCTCCTCCCTCCCCTCCCCAGCTTATTTTTTGCTGCAGCTTGGAGCAGTCAGCATCAACTGGAAGCTGTGGCCCTTCCTGGTGGGGCCAGGTGAGAGGCTGGAGCCAGAGCAGGAGGTGGGGCGGGGGGAGGAGTGGCAGAGGCAGGGCATGGAGGCTAAGGTTAATGATATTGTTCTGGATATGGAGCAGGTGCAGGGTCTGGTCCATAAGCATATGTATAAACAGTAAACATAGGTCCTTTAGACTTGTGCGTTCACTTGGATCTCTTTACTGTGATTCACAACATAATCAATTGTCAAGACCTCTTAGCCTTAGTATGGGAAGAACTGGGCCCCAAAGTACACTAATCATAGCACAAAGTAGAAACTTGAGAGGTTTTCAAATGATCTTTTATAGCTTATTCATTGACAGCTTGTAATTGTTGGTTTGCAACCTATTTGTGTACATTTCTAATACAAAACTATTTATAAATACTGATTTCTTTATACTAATAGAAACAATTTCCTGAGGCTGTGTGTGCTGAAAGTTACACAACAGAGCGAGAAGCACTTGGAGAAGATCCTGAATGTGGATGAATTTGTGAAAAGAGTGTTTTCTGTAATTCATAGCAATGATCCAGTTGCACGGGCCATCACACTTCGGTACATTTTCTAATTTTATTTTGCTTATCACAAGGATTTATGTGGTGGCTACATAGAATATCAGTTCTTTGGATTTGCTATAAACTTGTGTAAGATAAGTCTGCAGCAACAAGTAGGAAAAGTGGGACATTTTCATTTGACCAAAATCAAATGATTGAAGACAGCTTTAATATTTTTTAAGGGGTGGAAAAAAAGAGATACTGTATTTGATTCTAAGATGAAGTTTTCCCCCTCATTTAATGTGGGGGTAGCCTCTCATCTTAAAATCAAGTATGGGGATGGGGAGCAGGTAGCTGCTGTGCCTCAGGTTCTAGCCCTTACCCAGGGTTGGGATTGTAGCCACAGCTGTTGCCTGCCTTCCCTCCCACTGCCTCTGCACCCTGACATTATCCCCATGCAGCCTTTGTTCCCTTACCTGCCGCTCTTTCCTCCCCCCACTCCCTTACCCTTGCTCCCTGTCAACAAGCTCCATTCAAACTGCAGCCTGGTGCACAGACCAGGGCCCCAGACCTGCCCCACAGTAGTGGCACACAGCAAGGCAGTAACAGAGACTGGGCTGGGGCTGCGCTTGGTGTCTCAGGTAGAACAAGGGTGTAACTTGCTGGCTTGGAGTAAGGCAGTGGGGAGGGGCAGAGAGAGCAGAGGCTGTGGGGAGGAGCAGGCAGGGGCAGAGGTGGCAGGAGGGCAGGCAGAAGCAGGAGGCAAACTTTGACTTCCCACATTGGCTGTACTCACTGCTTCCCCCCGCCCCCACAGTAGTCATGGGAATGAATTAAAGATGACCCTCCAATAAGAATTTTTCTTTGCATAGTATTTTATTTTTGGGGGGTGTTGTCTTAAATTCAGGATTAATTTAGATTCAAATAAATATGGTATTTGTGATGGAAAGGAGTATTATAAATTCATTTAGGATGGTGAGAATTGTATGATGTATCTTAAGTCAAATTTGAATCTTGTGCCTGCAACTTCAATTACTTAAGTGTGCAACAAGAACCTTAACTTGTGTGTTCTGCCTCTTGAGCATGTAATTTTTTTATGTTAATAACATGCATTCCCATTTGATATATTGAGATCAAAATGTTTTGCATACTTCTAATACAGCCACACTGCTTCCTGGGCTAAACCCATAATAACTTCTGCTTTTATACTTTATTTTGTGGGGAGGAGGTTAATCCCTGTTCTTGTAAGTGAACAATCTCATGGGGGCAACTACTGCCCTTGAAACTTTATTGTCCCATGATATTTAAACTTTGAGAACATTCCTCCACACTAAGTGAACTTAGTTTGTATGTGAAAAGCAATCTCTTCATAGCCAGGAAACCCCATTTAAAATGCACAGTCAAAATCTTTATAAAGCAAAACATTGTAGAGTGCTATGAATTGTACCTTCCTAGACCAGGTTGGATGTTCTGCTGAATGTGAGCAACTTCACCCTGATGGAAAATGTGTGGTGTTAACACTACTGTCTTCTCTGAGATTTTTTTTTAACTGTAAGTAGCCCTTTACAAAGGTTCAATTAACAAATGATTTGTCAGTACATATTCTGGCTATATTCCTGACTTGTTAGGAATATCTGCATATTCTTGCAGAAAAAGAAGCAGCACAGATATTTTCAGTCTAGTAAAAAACATAGCAAGATATTTTGTAGGCTAGAGGCTTACCAAAGATACTGCTGCATAACAAATTATTATTTTTATAACTGATGTTAACTTTGGTTCATGTTTATTTCAACATCGAATTAGCTGCTTACTGATGTTGCAGTGACTTATTTTTGTAGGATGTTGGGAAGCATGGCGTCCATCATTCCAGAAAGGAAGAATGCACATCACAGTATTCGCCAGAGCTTGGATTCCCATGACAACGTGGAAGTTGAAGCTGCCATATTTGCTGCTGCTAACTTTTCTGCACAGTCCAAGTAAGCAGAAAGTCTTTTATAAGAGTAAAAGTGCCATTGATGTAGTAGGACTTCTTACTGTTTTTCTCTAAGTAATATCTCCTTTTATAGTACTTGCCATGCTATCTGTGGAACAGTACAAGAGAGGTCATTAGAGAAGCAGCATGAATATTGCAGGGAATTTGCAGTTGTTTTAACTCTGATCTTTTGGGACATTTAAATTTAAAGTAGTGCCCTACAGGAGACCACTTGTGGGCAGGTTAATTTGTTTCAGTCATACTAAAATATTTTTTTTAATATAATCAGTGTGACGTGTAGGGGATAACTTCCATCAGTGCAAAATGGTTATGTATTTGTTTAAGATGTTAAATGACGACTAATTTACTGCACTTTACTGGAAATTAAACTCACATTTATTCCTGTGTAGAATGCTTGAAGAAATAACCCAGTTTCCACTTGCTTGTTAAAATTATTTGAATGGCTCAGATCAAAAAGGCTCTGAAGGAATTTTTCCTTGTGTTAAAATAGTGATGGGCCTCCTAAATGTCAGAGGGAAGGAGCCCCTGCAATACAAAATCTGTATATTTTCAGATTCTAAAATGCATCTCAGCTTCCAGGATAATTTTCATTTAAATGTCTTTTGGAAAATGAGTATTTGCTGTGTTTGTTGTGATTTGTATCAAGTCTTTAATAGAAATTGTTATACTGCAAATGACAGATTTAAATCTAAGCCCCATTTAATCAAAAAGGCCACCCAAGTTGTCTAATCTTGGCCTTCTGCTATGAGGCAGAAGCCTGGTATGCAGCTGAGTTGTTTTAGGTAACAGACTTTGTAAAAAATGTGCTCTAAAGAACCATCAAAGTAGGTCTCTTCTTTTCCCCCCGTTACAGAGAAAAAGGAAGTTTTAAAAGCCCTGCAACCAACAACCCTGAAAGCCCCACAGGCGTTCTGGTAGTATGTTAAGAAGAATGTTTAGGATTGATGAAATTTTTGTCAGCAGACCTTTCTTATTTCTATACTTACTTTCTAATTTGAAGGTGAAAGTCTTTTAAGGGTTTGCAACCCATTTGGCCAGTATCTGTGGCCTTTGAGACTGCTTGGCAAGATAGTTTTGTGCCTTGGGCCTTATGGCCTTGGAAGAGCTCTGTCTCAGAGGGAGAATTGACAGAATTGTGAGCATATCTGATTCATGTGAGTGAGTGGGCATGCATGTGTACAAGTAGAACTGGGGCTACGTGGGCTTAAAGGGGGAGTGGAACAAAATGGGGACCATTCCAGACCTTCGGAGAGTGGGCAGAGCAGGGTATTAGTAGGGGCAGAATGGGCACTGTCTGGGTGCACTGGGGAGTCAGTGGGGTAGGGATTATTCATTTGAATCTGCAGCAGGAAAGCAGGCATGTATGACAAAGCTGAGGCAGGGCCTGAAGGCTGTGTGGTCCATGAGACATTTGAGTGTTTGCTGCTATCAGTGCTGAACCAGTCCAGAACCACTGCTTTAGATGCTTGAGTTACTTGTTGTGTGCAAGTAGTCCTCTGCACAAACCTAATTTACTTTCTTAATATCCTTAAGTGAATAGATGTTATACACATACATAGGGCCAAGGTCATTTGATGCTATACTAATATAAGAAGTCACTTGAGTGTAAAATCTTGCTAATAATTGGGAAATTAGCTTTCTGGCAGTGCTTATGCAGTTTCCTTACTGAACGCTGAAAGATGAATTACTTTTCCAAAGAATGTTTGCAAAAAGCTGTGCCTTAGTTGGGTAGTTACATCTAAAGACACTTTAGAGCTGTATTTAAAAAAAAAAAAAAAAAAAAAAGAGGCTATCTTGGCAACTGAACATTTTTATGTATGGTGGTTAGACCATTTAAAGTAGAACTTCAACTCTAGTGAAACAATGATGAAATTAAATATATAGTCCCAACTTTGTAAATGACTGGTAATTTTTTCCTCAAGAACAAAATTGATTGGGATGGTGCTTCACATGGAATAGTACTGGGTGACCTATTCATTGTCTGAAATTAGATGAGAGCAGTGAAAATTTCAGTGTTCCAAAAGAGGTGTGTTTCCCTCTTCTAGTAAGATTATGGAAAGAAGATCATAAAGCCTCTTTAAATGGAGCAGCAAATAAGTGATTTGTTTTTTCCCCTCAATTTGATGGCATTTACCACAGTTCATGCTGTTATGCGAATAAAAGCAATCTGATAGAACAAAGCAGAGCACAGAGCAGCATCGATAACCTGCTGCCTTCCAGTTCATCACTATTTCTTCAGCATTCTGAGTGGAACTTGTGAAAGCACTGCCACGGAATTAGGTATGAATTTTCCTTTAAAGATTTTAGAAGGCTATTGAAATACTGCTGCAACTTAATAGCAGCTTCTGTAAAACACCACCATGCTTAAACCATGTATTCCTGGAAAGGAAACAATCTAACCTTGGTAGTCAGAAACAGATAATGGGATTTAAGTCTTGTTACTCATGAATTTCTCTCTCAAGCCAGCTCTTTTGATTTCTTTTAAATAACTGATTTACTTTATTTGCTTTCAGGAGGTTGTTTAGTTAAGATTACACACATTTGTCTATCTATAAATTATTTAGGTTATCCATCGGAACTCAAACATGAATACTCACCTTCAACATTCTTAACTTACCTATAAAATAGCTTATTTATGCACCAAAACTGGACTAGACTTACTTTGGGAATTAGGTGATTTGGCTCCCTCCAATGATAGTCCTGCTCTCAAAGTTACAATCTCTGTGAATAGCTCTTCAATAATACAAAATAAATTGTAGCGTGAGTAACGTATTTATTTAACAGGACTACTTCGTTGTGATTTTATTTTGTTTGCCTTTTTAATAGCAGTGTCTCACAAGGAATGGCAAAAAGGCATGTGCCAAAAACATTGGGAGGCATATGCCTGAATCAGCACTGAGACTGTTAATAAGATTTAATCTACTCACTTTCTGTTTCTCTGGTCTATATACATTTATTGTTATTTTTTGAGAAAATTACTTGGTGCTCATTTTATTCCTGAGGCCTTTCTGCACTGCAAAACCCATACACCTCATTGTAGTGGTATCGAACTGGCTAAGGCAGGGGTCAGCCTCATCTTGCTGTAAATTGTGGTCTCATCCCCCCATCTCATTTTCTTCTCCTCCACCCCTGCCCCATTCTCCCAAAGAGCTCAAGCTGCCTGTGCTTATCCTCACTGCAGATACCCAGCCTCTTAGCAACAGGCACAGAGCAGCAGCAGGGAGGGCTTCTGAGGAGGATGCTGCAGTGGGAATTGGGTGCTTGGTGCAGCTTTATGCTGCCTCATCCTCTGGACCTTTTGGGGCCAGATCCAGCCTCTTCACAGGCTAGATCGGGCCATGAGGCTGTAGGATGCTGACCCTGAGATAAGGAGTTCAACTCTTATATTTGTATACCTGTACACATTGTACTTCCAGATGCACTGAAACAAGCTAGGTGAAAGGTGATTAAATCCAGTATTATTAGGGGATTTTGCTAAGTTATAATATATTTTGGGTTTTTCTTTTTCTGGATTTCTGTATAACTTAAATCTTGAAGTTCATGCGTGTGTGCGCGGTGTTTTTTGTTGTTGGTTTTTAGTTTTTTGGGTTGTTTTTTTTTTTAGTCGCACTCTCCTGGTTTCTTTGACCATTAAATCATAACTGCAACAGTTGGCAAACCTGTTGGGTTTAGTCTTACACAAACTAAACCTAACTTTTTCTGTTTCTTCACAGGGATTTTGCTGGAGGAATATGTAACAAAATTAGTGAAATGATTCAAGGTATGTCTGTGAATCAAATGCTTGAGTAAACAGGAATAGCTTTAATGTTTCTTAATATTGTTCCTTCTCATGTTTAAATGTAAGAATTCTTTGCTTCCTCATCCCTATACTCCATTGAAATGTCTTATTTGTTTGAGAAGAAGTGAACCATCAAGTGGTCTTGGGTTGCCTCTTAACTGCTGTTTCAGTGTCATTCCAAATGTAACTATTCAAAGCACTTTCCAAAGTACTTGATGGTGAATTAGACTTTAGGCATATTTGTGCTCTAAGCACTGCTAGGGCTTATCTTGTTTTTGAAAAGTTCATGATATCAAGTAAAGGTGATTACTGTCAGCTAATTATATCATCTTTATATGCGATAGGTTTGGCAACTCCAGTGGATTTGAAGTTGAAGTTGATCCCCATACTACAGCACATGCACCATGATGCTAGCCTAGCTTCCAGCTCCCGTCAGCTTCTACAACAGCTGGTGACATCGTATCCTTCTACCAAGATGGTCATTGTTACACTACACACCTTTACCTTACTTGCTGCTTCCTCCTTGGTTGACATTCCCAAACAGGTACTTTTTGAATGTCTTGAAAGTAAATAAACAAAAACCCAAAATCGAGTCTAAAAAATTCAGTTTTCTGCTGGACAAATGGTTACATCATAGTGCCTGTGCGATGTAGAAACTGCCACTGTTTTCATCCACTTTGATCTCTGGACTTCCCTTAATACCTCCCCTCCCAATCTGGGAAGACAGCACTTCATACATAACTTGCTTCTCTTGGATATGAGTCTGTAGAGTGGAGCATCCTTGCTTCTCTTGCAAACCTTGCTCTTTGCTTCTTACATTCAAGCCTCTGAATGCACTCTTTACCCTTTATGTTATCCCTTTCTTTCAGTGGCAGGGACATCCCCACAAGTTCAGATGCATACTGTAAATTTAAATATTTACATATTTGTAAAGCATTCTTAATAGAACTTGAATTCTCTGTCAGTTTAAAACATCAAGTCAAGCCATGGAACAGTAGTGATCCTTAGTTTGGTAGGGAATATGATCTTTTATGTCTATGTAATGTACTTTACAGGCTCAGACATGGTGGGTAAATCCATACATAAGTTAAATATGAGATTTAGTTCATTCAGCCTTATGTAGTAATAGTCATGAGAATCTATTGATCTGCCCTGAGCCTATCTGGGATGCAAGATCACAGTGTTTACCAGTGTCAGCTCTTAGGCTAATGGAATACATTTGTCTGAGGTTACATACCTGGTCTGGGTAACTTCTGTGCACTGTACAAATTCCATTTGACATGCTGGGTAACTGGCATCCTAAAAGAACAACCAAAGAATGTATTATATTCTTTGTTTTAATGGCAATATTTGGAGTGTTCTCCCAGCTAATGGAAACCTTGTAGTGGGGCTGCCATCTAGGCTTTGAACAGTTTTGAAAGTTTTTGATGAAGATGCGTATATAGAGTTCTTTAGTGAGCTCCTGTTAAAAAAAAGGAAACCTCCATATGACCACTGTTTCTATTTGTTTTTATGAGAAGCTTGCAGGGTTTTACTTCAGAAAATACTTTAATCACTTTCTTGTTACAGATTCAGCTTTTGTTGCAGTATTTAAAGAATGACCCCAGGAAGGCTGTGAAAAGACTTGCTATTCAGGATCTAAAGTTTTTGGCAAACAAAACTCCACATACATGGAGCAGGGAGAACATGCAGGTTTGCAAGTCTTTAACATTTTTTATTATAAAATTTCTATATGTAGGCTATTTTTAGTTCTGAGATGTGGTTTTGTGTGTGCCTTTTTCCTAAATTCCTTTCTAAACAAAGCTATTATGTAGAACAGCTGCTAGTCTGTATTTGCAAATGGTTACAGTGAAGGAACTTGGCAGGAAATAGGCATGTTTATAATGGGAAATGACTGTTCAGTCTGACAAGAAAAGTAAATTCATTATCTGAAGCAGTAGAGTATGCAGCTCTGGTGTTTGACTAGATATTTATTACTGCAAGGCCAATTTGTAAATGTTCCCTTGCAGGGTTGCTTAGAGAAGTTTGCTGTAAGCCTTGCCAGAGCATGTAATCAAGCAAGTAATTTCATAGATTTCATAGACACTAGGGCTGAAAGGGACCTTGAAATATTGGGTCCAGCCTAATCCTTAAAATACTTTTACGCAGTCTAACCTTAACGTGTTAATCCCAGTTTGCAGGCTGTGAAGTGAGGCCTCATCTGCACTGGCCATATGACTTTGCTGTAGTCTTGAATGGTGTTTGTATTAAACTTTTGACTTTTTGTAGGGATATAGCATAATTTGGGGATACAGTCAAAACTTGGTACAGTTCAGTTGTAAAGAAAATTGTTTTAATTGCTTCCCTTTCCCTGTTGTAACCATCCTTGGTAGAAATTGATATAGAGCAGTGATTCTTAACCAGGATGTTGTGAGATCCTTTTAATGGTGCTGTGCAATGTTAGTATTGTTCAGTGTGCAAATACCTACACAATTCTCAAGATAAGGCCAAATAGGAATCCATAGATTCAAAAACATTCTGACCTCCTGTGGTCTTTCTAAGTTCTTTGCAGCAGCAGAATTTCTTTATTTTTCCATGGTCAAAAAAAAAAAAGGTGAAAGCTAAGAACTAGCATTTCCAGAGGCCCCACCACTAGAGCCTGGGTGGGGACTATGTCCCCTGCCTTGGAAGCAGGGAGCTCCAAGCCCTTCCCTGACCTCCACCCTTCCAACACTGGAGAGCGAGGACTGGGAGATCCTTATCTCCCAGCTTGAGCTCCGTGATGGTGCTGGGAGATCCTCATCTCCCACCCAAGTTCTGCAATTGAGGTCAGCACTGGGAGCTCCCTGCTGGCAGGGGCTGGGGAGCTTGTTCCCTGCTCAGCTTTGTAATCATGAAGATGGGTGGAGAACCATCTGGGGAACACCTGCTCCACCAGTGGATTGGGGCAGTGATCTGGGATGTGCCCCTCCCCTGCAGCTCTTTCCAAGCCCCTGAGGGAGCCAGGGTTGGGAGCTCCATTTTGCAGGCCAGGAGAACATTGTCCGTGCTCTAGTAGCAGGCAGCCCCTTGGGGGCTGGGAGCAGTGTCCCAACCCTGGACAGGAGATGGCTATTTCGTGGCCCGGTGCTCCCTGCCAGCCTAGTTAAGTCTGATACTACATTCAACTAGGTTTATCTTAAACCAGTTTCGGTCATTTTGAAAGCAGTTCATAAGCACTGAACTTCTGCTCCTTTACAGGTTTAAACTAGTTTCTGACAGCTTAAACTGGTTTATGTGTAACTTTTGTCCCTAGTCTAGGAGTTTCTTATTTTTAATGAACTGGGAAATTCCTGGCTGGTCAGAATGTTACATTGGGCGTTTATGAAATCCAACATAAATAATGCAGTGGCTAAGTACAAATGTGAGACACTTGCATAGTATGACTCTTAGGTTAATATAGTAGGAGAGTCTGAATTGGTACTTATGTGAAGTCCACAGAAAAATTCTTACACACTTCACTGATGGTTGGATTTGCCCCAAAGTGTTCATAGCAGAGCTTTTTGTTTTTTTAAATATGTATTGTACAAATAACAATATGGGCAAGAAATAACCAGTTCCAGACTCTGTTTTAAGATTTGAAGTAAAACATTTTGCATTCGGCTAATTCTGGGGTGGGGGGGGGGGGGGGTTTCTTTGCTGGGATTCTTCAGTTACAATTGTTTCTGAGTTTGAAAACTCTTGCAGCCTGTGTTCTTGTCACCAGGATTGCTAACCTGTCTTGCACACTGGTGCTATTAAAGTCCATAACTAACTTATACCTTTTGGTATTATGAGAGAATATGTTCCCCAAATGCAATAAAAAAAATATGTTGCTGGTTAACGAAAAATGTGAGGGAGTGTTCCGCTAGACAAAGTTGAATTTTATATCTTATAACAGGGATGTCCAACCTTTTTGAATGTGGGGCCGTATCATGAACTTTTTTATCACCCAGTGGGCTGGCAAGCCATATTCAAACACCCTCTGTCCTGGGCCAGAGAGACCCTGCCTGTGTAGCCCTACTGCACCTGCCTGTTACTGCAAGGTTCATGGTAGCTGCTGGTGGGCAGGGGCAGGAGGGACCCATTCTGCATCCAGGCAGCTACTGCCCCAGGGACTGAAGGGGAGAAATAAATAGCTCCACATCTCCATCCCCTGAGCAGTGCAGCCCTATGAGCCGGCGCTGCCTGAGGGGGGCTGGAGAGAGGCGGCGGCTGCACTGCAGCTCCTCACCTGCCCGCCCGCACAGCCCTGCTCACCGTGGTGCCTGGTCGCCTGCACGTGCAGCCCTGGTGGCCTCAGTGCTGCGAGCCCGGAGCGCGGGGTCCGGCAGATACTGGCTCCTGCCATCTCGCCCTGCAGAGGTCACGCCAGGACCCGGCCTGCCGAGGCCGCCCGCCCCCGCCTGACACCAGCCAGCAGAAGCGACGGCGGAGCCACGTGCCGCTTGGGACTGACCAGTGCAGGCAGGGGAAAATGCTGCTGAGCCCCTGCTGCTCCGGCCAGGCTCGTCCCGTCCCGAGCGGCACATGGCTCTGCTGCTGCTTCTTCTGGCTGGTGCAGACCCGGCCGGGCTCCTCCTGTCTCCAGCAGCTTGTGGGAAGCCGACTTCAGCCACATGCTGCTTCTAATGGGATGGAACCAGCTGGGTCAGCACTGACCAGGAAAAGCGGCACGCATCTGAAGTCGGCTTCCCACGTGCTGCTGGGGACTGACCAGCGCAAGTAGGGGGAAAGTGCAGCTGAGCCCCTGCTGCTCCAGCTGGGCTCATCCTGTCCCGAGAGGCACATGGCTACTCCTTTTCCCACACGCACTGGATTGGCAATGTCAAGCTAACGCGGTATGTGTGGGAACCTTGTCCCTTCCCCAGCCCTTCAGCAGCCATTAGGAAGCTGCTGAGGGGCTGGGAGAGGGACAAGGGGTGGGAACGAAAGTAAACAGTTCATTTCCCATCGCAGCACCGCGGGCCTCAGAAAATGCCTTGGCGGGCCACATGTTGGACAAGCCTGTCTTATAATATGAGTAAGACTAATCAGCTTGTTTATAAGGTCATTAATGCAATAATAATTATTTCTTTAAGTCTTATGGGCGGGGGGGGGAGAGATTCTTCTGTGTTTCAAGTTTATACATTTCCCTATAGATTCGATAGATTCGTCTTTTGGTGTCTATGTTGATGATTTTTAGCATTCTTGAGAACTCATTCACTGAAAGCCTGCAATTAGGATAGCGCTTACTAAACACGAGTGTTAAATTACTTTCTGAAATGGTTGTTTAATTTTAGTGTTGTAAAGTTGTCCTTGGAGGGAGAAATTTGGAACACTAATATCCAAAAACAAACAAAAAACTCCACACCAAGAACCCAGAATAATTAACTATAAGTTATTTTGTTGCTATATGTCACAATAGAGAACAGGTTTTTCAAACAATCAGTACCTGTGGGGCTCTGAAATCTGGCATAGCAGTGGCTGTATGGCCAAAGTAGGTAGAAGCTGATTGCAATATTAACATCATAGAATTTCTCAAAGTACGTCTCGGCCCACCAGGCATGGGTGGGCCCACAGAGGTTTATGAGGACATATAGTTCTAGAGGTCTCTAATATAGCAAGGTCTGTTTGCCATGAACTTCTTTAAACATTGGTAGTCGTGATGTTATAAAATATGTTCTCTTCTTCAATGGAGGATTGCAGGCCTCTCCTAGGATTGTTGACTCTCACTAATGAGGTCCCAGGCAAAATTACTATAACACAAATAAAAATAAATGTTGTGAATTTTCTTGGTTATCAAAAGCCTGAACTCCTTCCCCCTCCACTGGATTATTTTCTTGTTTGCTTAAGGAAAAAAAGTTGTGCTGGAGGTTACATTTTGAAATACTTCTATTTGGAGAACTTTGTTTTTTGAAACAGAGAGAGATTGTAAGTCAAATGCTTGATGTCTTTTCTGTGAATTAGTGGATAATTTTGTCTGCAAATTATGCAGAATTTTGTTAGCAATGAAAAACCTCAAGTGAAAAAGTAATAAATGTAATGCATATTGCTGGTTTGTATGATAGTTTGTGAAATGCAGTGTCACTCAGAGAACAAACATTTTTAACTGGTCTGTTAAAGCTGTTGCTTCAAGACAGTGACCAGTGAGGAAATAATTTGAGGTCTGAATTGGGTCATTAGTGACTTAAAGATCATTTTACCACAGAAATAAAATTTAACACAATATAAACATGAGGGTAAATGTTTATAAATAGTTTGAGGTTTTTTTCCTTTATTTATTTTAGACACTCTGTGAATGTGCTCTTCAAACTCCTTATGACAGTTTGAAACTGGGCATGTTATCTGTTCTTTCCACGCTGTCAGGGACCATTGCCATCAAGCAGTACTTCAGCAATGCCTCAGGTAAGAAGAGTATATAAGATAGACTAGCTAACTTTTAGCACTTTTTGCATGGATTTGTCTGAGTATTGATATTCAGTGCTTTTTAAAACTATTGTGACACGTTCTTAAATGATTCTAAAATACAGTATTTACTTGAATGTAAGACAACCCCGTGATAATTAGATTCTATAAGTGGAAAATATACATTTGCTCTAATTGTCTGCATATAGAACCTAATTAAAGAAAAGTTGTTGTTTGTCCCCATCCCCCAACTGCTGCCCAGGGACAGATGGTGTGGGTAGGTCAAGGAGCTTGCCCTCTGCTGTCTCCCCCTCCCCTCAGCCACAGCAGACTCCTTGTTCTAACCTGGAACACTGGGCACAGCCCCAGCCCCCATAGGAGCCATGCAGGTTTGGCACTGCTACTGTGGGTTTGGACTAGGGTCATGCTTGAGTGATCAGTGCTACAGCATGCACAGAGCCTGCTGGTGTGGAGCAGAGGTAAGTGGGGAGGGAGAGGGCCAGGCAGGGGGGCAGAGGATGCATGGGTGGGGAGGAGAAGTGGGGAAGGGTCTGCAAGGGGAAGATGGAAGGATGCAGAGGTGGTGGGGGGTTTAGGGAGTGCAGGCAGCAGCTGTGGGAACGGCCCTAAACTCAGGTAAGGGCTGCTGCAGCTTGTGCTCCAGCCACCTCCCTGCACCCTACCCCCATACTCTATTGTAAGATGAGGGGCTTTTCTCCCTATGTTAAATGGTGGGGGGAGGGGGAGAATGATGCACCTCATTTTAGAATTAAGGAAATTTGATACTTTGCATTAGTGATTTGATTCGGGGTTGAAAGCAGATTGCATTCATTTTTATAAATTAAAAATATGGTATGAAATTGGGATGGAAATGTAGTCCAGTGAATACAAAAAGTGTCTCTGACATTCTTTTCCTGGCTCTGTTGCTGATTTGTTGCATGACATGGGATAAGTCCTTAATCCATGTGCCTCAGGTTTTATTCCTAAAGTGAGGATCTTAATATTTGTCTGGCCTGTTTGGACTGAGAAGATTAAATAATATATTAAGGCAGTGGGTACCGACTTTTTTGGTAGCTGTGCCACAGGTTAGCCCTACAGCCTCCTCAAGTGCCACACTTATCTCCTTCCCCTGCTCTGCTTTCTGCTTCCTGCCTTATCTGCTTGTTGTGCTGCCTGTCCTCTCCCTGATTTACCACTTGTCACACAGAGGCTATCCCTGCCATTTGTTGCACTCGTATCATGGGGTTGCCACCCCTGTTACTTTGAAGTCATGGGATTAAAATTGCATATATTTAAACATACCTGAAAGAGGGAATGGATGTATGGAATTATGTTGTAAAGACTTGGTTGGCATGAGGGTGGGATGGTTGCATTACCCAAGAGAGATTTAAGCCAGTGAACAGTTGTGTAGAAATGACATGCATGCATGCCCTTAAAAACCTAGGGCGCTGATAGATGTGACGTTGGGCGGTGGGGGAGCAAACAGCGGTTTTACCAGAAGAGGAATCGCATCAGTTTGACCCAGATCCCCAGCGTCTGTATAGCTCGCATGCTTCAGCCGGACCTTTTGACGCCTTTATCTAATAGCTGATTAATTGAATCGGTTATTAGATAAAAGTGCCAAAAAGCCCACAGAAGTGCATGAGCTATACAGATGCTGGGTGAGCCAGGTCAGACTGACACCATTCCTCTTCTGGTGATGTGCTGCGTTTGGTGTGGGGGTGTGCCGAGCTGAAAGTAATGTGCTGTTTTTTGTTTTTTTCTGTAGGCAACCCTAATGTCTAACCATGTACTAGAAGTATTTAATATTGTACTAACTGCTTTAACTATTAAAAAAAAATGTGTTTAAAAATGTTGCCAATGTTTTTATTCCTTCTTTCTAAAGCTAAATTGTCTTGGTTACCATGAGTCCTACCAAACAAGCCATAGAAATAGAGGAAGAATAAACTCTTAATCACTGACTGAAAACAGTCTTTTTTCTCATGCAGTAATAAACCCAAATAGTTAGTTATTTTATGACTTTGCACATGCTGTTTGTCTAGATCATAAAACATTAGCAGTCAGTCTTTAGGTTTAAAGGCTATCTGTAGAACTTCATTTAAAACTATAGAAGTGAACTTGTGAAGTAATTATGGAATATGTACTGTTATAATTTTTGTCTTCTATTTAATTAGGAACTTCTACAACTGGAAGAACTTCTGACTTAGTAAAGTTGGCTCAGGAGTGCTGTTATCATAACAACTGTGGTATTGCAGCTCATGGAGTAAGCATTCTGACTAATATATCTGCCTCTTGCCAGGAAAAAGGTACATAAGAAGTGTGAGTAATTGGGTTTATGCACTTCCTCTTGTTTCAGATTGGCCAGTTCTTTGTTCCAACTCTGACTTCCCAGGGGATTTGTTCCTCTACAGCAACGCTGCTTGTAGTTATTCAGCTCCTAGTACACTGGTTCTCATTTGGGATACTGTGGTGTAAGCACCACTGCTGTGGTGGCAAGGTAGAACTGCCCCACATGCCTTGTGCACATGTAGATCAAGAAGTGGTTGTGGCGTGGCATGCACTCCTGCCTGCATCAGGTTTATAAATTCTTAATACAGGCAGGAGCACCTGCTCTTGCTGCAACCCTTCCTGATCCAACTCTGCATGGTATCTCCTAGAAACAGGTGCATAGAGCAGGTGGAACTGTTCTGTGCGCCTCTTTTTCTGGGAGGAGCATAGGAGGCCCAGTCCAGAGGGGTTGTGGCAATAGTGAGTGCTCCTGCCTGCTTTATCCAATAACCGTAATGCAGGCAGGAGCAGGTGCTTGTGCTTCCTGATATGGCTGTGCAGGAGGCACTCATGGGCTGTTCCAGCTGGTGGTGACTGGCAGTAGCAACACCCCAGTTGAGAACCACTGAGGTAAGCTGATGATATTGTTCTCAAACTCCTTAGCTTCAGGGCATCCCTCCAT